CTTTGTCCCCAGGGCGGCGAATGGCCGGCCCTGTGACAGGATCGTCGTCCTCTCCGCTCGTGCAAAATCGATTCCAAACGAAAAAGAGAAATGTACGGAAGCGGCTCCTAGTGCCTGCGAAACTTCGCCGAGTTCTCCGCGCTTCCCTTGGCCCACTGCCGACATCATCGGCGACGGGGGCGGTGGGGGTGGTGGCGGTGGTGGCGATGGTGGCGGCGGCGCCTTCATCCCTCCCGTCGTCAGGACGGCGATGTTCCTTGCTGGGACAGGGGACCAGAACCCAGCTGGTCAAGAAGAGACAAGATGCGCGCAACATCGATATGCTCCTCATCCGTACTTGACGCATTCCCGGCAGCGCCCACTTACTGCAGCGGGATGCGTCACGCGCCGCCAAAGCGAACGCTCGTGAAGCGATCGTCGCTGGACTCCCGTCCCGGGTTAAACCTGAGATACGCTTCAGCGCCAACATGTTCCACGCTCGAACAACTTTTTTCGTTAACATGAGAAGTGCAAATTACCGTACAGTTTCAAAATATAGGAATCAAATGTAAAAATGTCACGCTCACCGTACACGAAGAAACACAGTGCAAGATCCCCCCGATAGCAAGATCCCCCGTATATATATCACCTGTTACGGCAAGTGCTGTTAGCGAGCACCTATGACGGCCGGCATGACACACGAGGGGTGGGTGGCTAGCACCACGCCTGGCCGCCTTTGTCTCCCCAGTCGCGATATTTACACATCGCACCAGCTACTCATTTGAGGCTGAGTCGACCTAGGGGAGGCCCAGGACCGGTTCAGATAATCGTCACTGGGTGTTGGTGGCCGTGAGCGGGAATCGAACTCAGGTTTCCGGGTTCGTACTGCCACGTGCTAACTGCTGCGCCACCGCTCCCCACACCTACCCATTATAGTGCTACACAACCAGAGGTCGCAACCGGGTACCCGATACCCGTACCTTACCCGATACCCAGCTACCCGTACCCGGCCGGGTATAGGTAGCCGTTTGCGACCCTGGTGCGGCCGGGTACGGGTACGGGTAAGGAATCAAAACCCGTTTGCGACCTCTGTACACAACCCTGGCCCTGTCTATGACAATAAAGTAACTGCGTAACTACCGTGTTTCAGATCTGCCTTGTGTTCACGAACACGGTCCGAGACATGTCGCTTAGGTTCCCCAACGTAACTACTGCCGCAGACACGGCTTAGTTTGTAGACGCCGGGGTATTGCAAGTCAGGGATCGCATCCTTCACAGATGAGATCAGATCACGAATTTTATGTGCTGTGTTAATTCGAACCTGGATCTTGTGTTTGCTCATGATTTTGGAAATCTTTTTGGTGACCCCTGCTATGTATGGCAAGGGGATGGTTTTGTGTCTGTGGCAGTCATTACATTTTGTGTCTGCGGCAGTAGTTAAATTTGAGAAACTAAGCGACATGTCTCGGACCGTGTTCGTGAACATAAGGCAGATCTTAAACACTGTAGGACCAATACCTCGGCCGTGGCTGATCATTGTTTTAATGCGGTGGGCTCACACGAAATTGATTTCTCCAAGACGAAGCTACTTTTCAAACCTACTGGCTATCAACAAAGATGTTCATGAAGCCATCCATATATACAGACACGGACACAATTTCCACAGAGAAGATGGGTACAAACTGAGCAATCATTGGAAGGACGTTGTCAACCAGTTTAAGTCATAACTGGCTGTGATGTTCCCATCCTACCACCTTCCGATGTTAGTTGTTCATTTACAGGTTCACACTAACACAGCCACTTCGCGCGCCGACCAAGAGATGCCGGTGGCTTTGCGATCTTCCATTAACATGTTAATGTTCACCTGGCAGCCATTTGATTGGTGGAAAACTAACCACCATTTCAAACCTTTAAAAACAGTTTACCTTTAGAAGCTAACCCCCTTTTCCTGATGACGACCGCTTGTGTTGCGATCGAAACGTCGTAGTTTTTTGTTATTTTTTAGTTATTTTCTTTGAACCTATCTACGTGACTTTACCGAAAGACCCAAAGAATATGGATTCTCTACGCCCGTTGCCAAAAGGGGAGACACTTTAACTCAACAAACCAGCCAGCCCCAAAACTTCACCCAATGCACCACTCGTACACGAAGACTCACCACCCCTGACTCAAGATCCAGCTAATGCCGTCGTCCCGGCTGCCGTCCTCTCTGAGGCCCTTCTCAGCGCCTCTCTCGCCGGACGCGGAGGGGATCGCTCCGCCCGACGGTTCGAGAGGCCACTCGCAAGCCGTCACGTATGACTCCACACTGTCGGAGGACGCCGGCGGCGGCGACGGGGGGGAAGCCGCCGGATCGGGTGACCCACGGCCACCGGGAGAGGAGTCGTCGTCAATCTCGCTGAGCGTGCCGCAATTATTGCCGGGGGTCAAAAAGGTTTCCTCTGCCTGGCTAGACGGCACTGGCGACGGCGCTTCGGATGGCGTCAGCCACGCTTCCGCATCCAGCTCGAGGGCGCTGTCCACCATCCACTCGTGCTCGAGGGCCTCCTCGGGCGTGAACCTCCACATGGGATCCCACCTGGCGAGAGGGGAGGGAAAGGGAAAATAAATAAATAAAGCGCTCACGAAGGCCCCACGGGACTTGCCTAAACTCCTCTTCAAACATGGAGTAGGCGCGAGCTGTACGATCTGTTCTTCGAATAGCACCGCGTGGTGCTTTCACGAGGCGATCGATCGACCGGAACTACGTCGCAGCGCGAGTAGGGACAAGCGGTCGTGCGGCTGCCTCGGCGCAGCGTGACGCAGGGCATTGGGATGCTGCTGGATGCTTCTGGATGCTGCACACCATGCCCACCACGCGCCTCGGTCTTTGTTCGGCCTGCGTACGCACCTCACGCATTATCGCGGACTGCCCTTTACCCTACGTTATATATTACTTATTATAATGCGATTTGTCCTAGACGTTTTGTTCTTCAGGAACACAGCTACTGTCGCGTGATAGGATAAACAGGCTGCACGCAGTTTTACCGACAACCGTAGCACGTCACGTGGTTGACCGTCAGATGACGTCATCAAAAACATTTTGCCCCTGACAGGACAAGCAGCTGCCCAATCTCAACGAAATAGCATTTGTCAGGTGAGTGTCGATCGCAGATGTGAATTGAATTATCGACGAAGATAATGCGCAGTGGGCGGTGGTGGTGTGCCACTTACGCGAGGCATCCTTTGATGAAATTGAGGAAATGGATGTTTTCCGTCCCAAGCACTTTGTTGAGGGGTAAGCTTTCCGGGGTTACTTTCTTGTGGTTGACGAAGATCTCGCCCCTGTCACCTGTTTTACGAGACAAAAAAAGTACACAGAGAATTAGTGCTGGGATGAAGACTGCAACGCAGTGCGGCACTTCATGCACGACTTGAATGTTGCTTCAGTGTTGCCGAACGAACACACGATGAGGTCGCGCTCGTTGCAACACAAAGCGCTTGCTGAAAATGAGCCACAATACCTCGCCATCGAACAAAGACGGGGGTCACCGCATCGCACGGCGCTTTAAGATGCGCCTCTGCGGCCGTCTGGAACGCTCTTCCTTCCGATATTAGGAAGCCGCTGGGAGCTGTGCACTTTTAAATCATCATCGTCTAGATTGAAAAACTAATTTTCTCTAGACACAGCTTTTTTGCGTTAAATTTGTTGTCCTTCCCCCGCACCTTCAATGAGCACGGTTGGCTACGTCAAATCTCAGACTCAAAGATGAACGTGCACGTGGAGATTCCCCAACGGCTCATGGCCGACAAAGGTAAAACAGATTAAAACAGAGGGCAATATCGCTGGCTGCATGGCCACACGGCTCTACGAGAAGTGCCAGCGCAGGTAGCGACCGCCGCCACCTCCTCCACTCACCAAAGGAAATGAGCTTCACTGTCGAGGTTACGATGACAGTCATTGGCGGCACCCCCAGGATCTACACGCACGCACGCACGCACACCACAGTGGCGATGAGTTGACGTGGGCGAGATCAGTCGAGAGATTAGTCGTTGATGCGCACGCGATTACGTGTGTCCGTCCGGTCGACTTACATTCGACCACTTTCGTCGGATCTCGGAAGCTCAGCAGGTTTTGGCCTGCAAAGTGCTCGGATGAGTGACCATTGCACACACCAGATTGTCTGGATTACGTGGTGTGTATTACAGGGCAGTGCAACAAAATCCATTGTTGTACTTCATATGCTTCCGTGCTCTGCTCCCCTTCACAAACCTACACCGACCATCATTGTGCAGTACAGTACTACCATTCGCTATCACTACTCAACTATTTTTATTTTACCAGGTAATGCCTCACTGAGCTATATAGGAGCTCTTTTTCAGAAGCAACCTGAAAAAGAGCTACTATGTAGCCACGAAGTGGCTTGCCATCACGTGAGAATTTCTCGCAGCCAAATACTGTTTGCGCACACGGAGAGATGTACGGAGAGATGCATATGGGACTCGGTTCGCGGTTCGTGGCATTTCGTGGGTTTGTTATGAAACCGCGTCTATATTGAACTAACTGCAACTGACTTGTTATTTTATCAGGTGGAGGCCACACTGAGCTGGGCAGCGTCTTTTGCAGAAGCAACCTGGCCTATCACACATGATAGCTCAACGATGTGGCTTGTCGTCATGTGGAAATGTATAGTCGCAGCCAAACACTCTGAAACGCATGGTGGTGGTGGTGGTGTTGATTCTAGATTTGGAGGGGAAAACCGGAGGAACCGGAGGACAATCCCCGCGACCACGGAGAGAGAGACAGAGAACGCGGAGGAGACTCTAAATATACAGCAGGCGTTCAGGGTCGGAATCAATCCCACGACCTTCTGCGTACCAGGCGAGGTCGTTACCATCTCGCCACACGTAACTGGGAGAGAAAAAACCCTAGCCCAGAGAATTATTGGACATCTGTGACAAAGAGCTTCATAGCTCATCGGATTCCTCCAGTATTAAATACACATTCAGATTCTAATCGTTGTTGTTGTTGACCTCGAAAGACCTCGAGCATACCTCGATGACCCTCTCCAGATGGTGACATTTGAGCTTTCTCTTGAAGAGGTAATCGCCAGTCACGAGCTCGGCAGCCACGCAGCCCAGGGACCACATGTCCACGGAGCACGTGATGGGCAGCTTGAGGTACATCTCTGGCGCTGTGTAGTGCTCCGTGCCAAACCTCTTGAAGACTGAAAAGAAATGACAACAACAAAGATGTCCATATATGGAGGTCGTGGGCTCGATACCGACCCTGATGCCCACTGTGGTCGCGTGGGTTATTCTCAAGGCAGGCACGGCACACGACGGGGTGGGTGGCCAGCACCACGCCCGGCCGCCTTTGTCTCCCCCAAGTGGCGATGTTTACACACCGGACCAGGTACTCATTTGAGGCCGAGTCGACCTAGGGGAGGCCCAGAACCGGTTCAGATAGTCGTCACTGGTGTTGGTGTGCCGTGAGTGGGAATCGAACTCGGGTCTCCAGGGTTTATAGTGCAGCACACTAACCGCTACACACACAAGCTGTACATACACACACACATGGTACACACACAGAGTACACACAGTACACACACACACAGTACACACAGTTTCACACGTAGGCTTTCGTGATCAATATCATCCATAATACAGTTTTTTTTTGGGCTAGAATCGCGTAAATATATGAATGTGTCGTTAAACCCGCCACCACCCGACAGCCAACTAGTAAGGGTTGTCACGTAAACACCGGTGTGTTGGAGAGCCAAGCCACAACATTTACAATCTGAGTAAACACACAGTACACACACACACACACAGTTCACACATACAACACACACACAGTACACACACACACACAGTTCACACACACAACACACACACAGTAGACACACACACACGTAAACTCACTTACAATTGGGACTCTCTTGAAAGCTGAGACCAAAATCGGTGAGTCTGACATCGCCGGTGTCGTGGTCCTTGATGAGGATGTTTTCCTGGAGAAGACAAAGATGTTAGCTACCTCGCCTGGTACGCAGGAGGCCGTGGGTTTGATCCCAGCCCTGATACCTGCTGCTGTATATTTGGAGTTTACATGTTTTCTCAGTAGTCGCATGGATTTTTCCAGTTTCTCGCTCCACATTTACAATCAACATCACACGCTTAGAGTATTCGGATGATTTTTATTTCCGCGTGATGATTAGCCACTGCGTCGAGCTATCATTTTTGATAGCCAGGTTGCTTCTAAAATAAAATATTTCAAAAAACTTTCTTTTAATGAAATGTACTGTCCGAGCTGCCCCTCCCCCTGCCCCCTTCCCCCATCGCCCCTCCCCTCCTACCACATCCCCCGCCCGATGTGGGCGGGGGATGTGGGTGGGGCGATGTGGGTGGGGCGATGTGGGTGGGGCGATGTGGGCGGGGCGTTGTGGGCGGGGCGATGTAGGTGGGGCGTTGTGGGCGGGGCGAATGTGGGCGGGGCGATGTGGGCGGGGCGATGTGGGTGGGGCGATGTGGGCGGGGCGATGTGGGCGGGGCGATGTGGGCGGGGCGTTGTGGGCGGGGCGATGTGGGTGGGGCGTTGTGGGCGGGGCGATGTGGGCGGGGCGATGTGGGCGGGGCGATGTGGGCGGGGCGATGTGGGCGGGGCGATGTGGGCGGGGCGATGTGGGCGGGGCGATGTGGGCGGGGCGATGTGGGCGGGGCGATGTGGGCGGGGCGATGTGGGCGGGGCGTTGTGGGCGGGGCGATGTGGGCGGGGCGATGTGGGCGGGGCGTTGTGGGTGGGGCGCTGTGGGTGGGGCGATGTGGGTGGGGTAGTTGTGGGTGGGGCGATGTGGGTGGGGCGCTGTGGGTGGGGCGATGTGGGTGGGGCGCTCTGGGTAGGATGTCAACGAGGCTGCAGGCTGTTGTATTCACTCACCGGCTTCAGGTCTCCGTGAATGATTTTCTGCTTCTTCAGTTTCTGCAGGGCCTTCAGAATGGACCTCACGTACACCTTGGCCTCGGGCAGGGTAAAGGCCGTGGAAACCAACGTGAGTTGCTGTCTGAGGTCTCCCCTGCAGGACAGAGCGGCACGCATGGTTACGCTGCCTCCTCCTTCTTCGTGAGTATTGGACACGAGGTTCCTCGCAAGAGCCGGATGTCGAATCTGCCGTAGCGGCCGCTCACAAACATTCCCCACGCCGATGACGTAGGGCCCCCGTGGGGGACAGTGTCCTCATGCACACGGCTGAAAGGTGCTCCCGTTTCCCATCGCTGTTTACAATCACGAAGCAGATGCATTGTATTCTTGGTTCTTTCGGTAAAGTCAAGTAGAAGGGAAATAATAAAATAATATAAACATTAAACAATAAAAATTCTCACGAAGTTTCGACTGCAACACAAGCAATCATCATCAGGTGTGAAATCCACAGCAAGAAAATTTGAAAAACCGCCACTTTCTTCAAATTTAAAATAAAAATTCTCACATCGTGAGAATTTGTATTTTTTTATATTTATATTATTTTATTATTTCCCTTCTACGTGACTTTATCGAAAGAACCAAGAATATGAATCCCTGCAGTAACGAAATTTTTTAATCAAAATTCAGATGCATTGTGTTATGTGTATGTATGTTGCTGGGAGGAGGCTCGTGAAGGACGCTGCTACTGGGCAGTTGGAGGCAGTCGCCCTCCAGCAACAACGGAGGGCGGAGGAGCGACGCCCACAACAACTCACGTCAAAAGCTCAAGGACCAGACTGAAATGGCCCCTGAAGGTGAAGGTGTTGAGGAGTTTGATGACGTAGTTGTTGTTTTGCTCTTTCGACTGCAACGCTTTAAGCATCCGCACCTCCCTTTTGGAATGGTACGGCTTGGCGCTGCGGAGAGAAAAGTGGTGAACGAGTCTCACCCCGCTCGTAGTACTGCACGTTGAGAAACACGGTGGCCGCATTAACACATTTCGTTAGAAACTCACTGTGATTCGTGCTGCAGCATTTTCACGGCTACTTCTCGCTTATGTTTGTGATCCAGGCATCGGATCACCTGGCCATATGCTCCCGCTCCGAGCACACTCAGGACCTGGTACCTATATGCCAGATGCTCATCGTTGACCTGGAAAACATTACAAAAGAATTCGATTTACACTCGGTTAAAACAAAATTTTCAAACTTTTATTTTTATTTTGCCAGGTAAGGCCCACTGAGCTGTATAGCTCTTTTTCAGAAGCGACCTGGCCATCACAAATGATATCGCTCAACGAAGTGGCTTATCGCGTGGAAATGTATATGTGCTGAAGCAGTCACGAATTGGCACGTTTCATCTACGTGACAAACCCCGTTACTAATTGGCTGTGTCGGGTGGTGGTGGGTTGACAACACATTTATATTTATGTGTTCTAACCCAAAAATTTACTTTTCTTTTGGATAATATTGGTCACGAAATCCTACGCGTTAAACCAGGGGTGTTATACTTTTAGTTTTTTTCCAGTAAAGTCACGTAGGTAAAAATAAATGGGAATTTTAGGGGTGTCTGAACACCTCCTGCGTGGAGATGTGAATTGGTTGGAAACCACATGGACCTTGGTTGAGGGTACGTACCAAACTGTAGTGGTGACTTTCGGAATTATGGACAGCATTCAAAGAACTGTCTGATGCCCGACGGATCCTGAAATAATAGATGTGCTCGTAGAGTGTGACTTCATTATGTTCAAACGGTGTCATTCTACTTCCGAATTGCTGAAGGATACCTGCATGCACACACACACACAAAACATGGACTGTTGGAACAAGTGCTGTGAGCGAGTAGCAACTATGAACGCCGGCGCTGTGGCACACAAGGGAGGTGGGTGGCCAACACCACGCCCGGTCGCCTTTGGCTGCCTAGTGGCGATGTTTACACATCACACCTGTTAGTCATTTGAGACCGACTCTACCTAGGGGAGGCGCAAGACCGTTTCAGATAATCGTCACTGGTGTTGGCGGCCGTGAGTGCGGTGAGCTAACTGCTACACTACCGCTGTCCATACACACACACATACACGTACGTACCATGGACGCGTATCTGCATTGAAAGGAGAGTAAGCATCAACAAGGAGAGCATCACTTACAAGAGCTCAGTCTAACCTCTTACGTGTCTTCTATTTAGAGGTATAGCATCGTTGAAGGATGAGACTTAATAATGGAATGGAAGCCAAAGGAGGAACACGCCCAACAAGAAATTACGCAAACGGAGAAATGAAATGAGCGCGCGCGCAGGCTCTAGGACTGTTGCATGGCGGGATCATGAGATTACGGAGATGTTCTAATCAGAGGTGCGAAGGAAAAAAAAACTAACACAAAAATCAGTTTGAAAGAAATTTGTTTGTCAATCTAGATTATTTAAAAGTGCATAGTTCCAGTGGCTTCCTAATATCGGAAGGAAGAGCGTTCCAGACGGCCGCAGAAGCATATCTGAAAGCGCCGTGCGATGTGGTCACCGCTGTCTTTGATCATGGCTGTTGATAATGCAGTGAACTCTAGTTGTGCGTTAGATGCAGAGACGTAGCAGTGAATGATTATACTGTCGTGAATGGCGTAGTACCGGCAGGCGTGCAGTGCATCCCTGCCTCTGCGATGACGACAGGTTCGTCCATTGCTACTAGACGCACACGGATACACGCGGACACACAAACGCACAGATATATGAATAACGTCTTCATCACATACAACGCGATGCAAGCCACAACATTTACAATCTGAGTACGACGTAAAATAACGACATTTTGTATATATTTACGCGATCTAACCCAAAAAAAAACTCTATTATGGATGATATTGGTCGCGAAAGCCTACGTGTTAAACGGATCATTTAATATAAATCAGATTTAACTAAGGGATATGTGATCACTTAAGGTGTTTATGTGGCATCGATTATCCTGGACCTCAATAGAGATTGTACCCGTGTCTGTAGTGTGCAGAGGGCTTGTGAAATAAAGTTTCAGTGTTTTTGATGTGAAGGGACCTGGTATCTGTGCGTATACTTTCATGTGCGCCGTTGTCCATGCTGTCAATTGAGCTTGTGTCTCTGTATTGTGATGTGAGTTTGTAGCATTGCACTGTCAGGCGAGCATGTATCACATCAGCCCATCATCTCTCGGGGTTGATGAAATAAGCACCAAATAAATACCAAATAAAATTAATGGGAAAGCCAGGAGTGGATGTCCTTTGAAGAAAAATGTCACAGTCCCTTGGCAGGTTGTCTCCGCATAGGATGACCTCAATGATGCACTTTGAACTCACCTAGATAGAACTGCTTGTTGGGGGCCATCCATTTAGTACGTACGCATGGAGGGGGGAGGGGGCGGTTAATCCAAATGCGTAGCTTGCGTATGGGGGGGGGGGTCTACTGACAATGTACGTGCGCATAGGAAACGGGGTGGGGGGGGGGCCTCGATAATAGTTTGTCTATATTGGCCTTCAAATTAGTTCGATAGTCCTTGATCGTTTCTGCGTGGATTCAATATCGGCCGTTCAATAGGATTCGGGGGGGGGGGGGGTGCGTAACGCGTACGTACGCAGGTGGGGGGGGGGTAAAAAGTACGCGTGCGTACAGTGAGGGGTCAAGTTTTGACAGATCTTTGCGTACCGACTAAATGGATGGCTCCTTGTTGTGTTTAGTTTTTTGTCCTTCCCCCCGCACCTCCCATTCGCACGTTTGGCTACGTACGGTGCCAAAGGGGCCGTCCATAAATGACGTCACGCGATTTTGGATGATTTTGGACCCCCCCCCCCTAGTCACACGGCGTCACAAAAAGTCAGACCCCCCTTCATATATGACGTCACAAAGGTCTGCCCCCCCCCCCCCCAATTAAACATGCTTCAAATCGCTTTAAACTATTGTCATTGTAGTGCGTATTTAATGTGGCGCTGCACTCTGATGTTGTAGGAGAAAACATTCTGATTTAAAGCTTTCGTGACTGCAGGGATTCATCTTCTTGGTTCTTTCGGTAAAGTCACGTAGACGGGAAATAATAAAATAATAATCATATATATTGTTACTTTTATTACTTTCTTATTTCCCTTCTACGTGACTTTACCGAAAGAACCAAGAATATAAATAGGAAACTGTGTGCGGGAGTAGCCCAGATGTGTTGTAGGATGGGGCTGGCTGTCACGTGATAAGATGAAGGTACAGCAATGGATTTCTACCACCACCATCACATCAATTACCATCACCGACATCATCACCACGATCTCCATGTCCTCTTGCATCACCATCACCACCGCCCTACCCCCCGTGGGGGTTGGAACGATTGCGACATCACATTGCTCGTGACGTCATCTGGAGGCGTGACGTCACTATGCTAAGCCCCTCCCACCTCGTTTAGGTTCACGCCCACCCGAGCGGAGTTAATGTTTCTATCGTTGGGTGGCATGGAGAGACTGAAATTATTTTTAATATATAAAACGTCGTCTATCACCACCAAAACGACGATCTATTACCAACTTTCAACAATCGCCAATATTAAGCATTCCCACCATCAGAACGATCAACAAAACCATGACCAACATCAATGCACCCAACACCCCCGCCTACCACCCCTATGGAGATCCCGATCATTTTTAATTGATTAAGTATTTTTTAAAGTTACTAAAATATTGATTAATATTTTAAATTGTCAGGATCGTCATAGCCTGTAGGGAGTATCTAGATCCGCGTCTGGTCGCTATTATCACCTGGGAAGCCTGAACATTCGTAAAATGTTCCCGGATTATTTTAGAAATGTGAAAGACAAATTATCGCACTTTCTTGACGAGAAATCGCACAAGTCAAAGAGGAGTCATCACCAAGGCGCACGAGCGCCACCTACCGTGCGTCTGCTCTCGACGAGTTGGATCCCACAATGTAACGCGGGAAGCACGTGCGCTTGGTGACGTCAAAGGGGGACCACGTGGGCCGCGGGTTGTGACGCGTCAATGTTCAGCGCCACGTGCAGCGCCACGTGAAGCGCCACGTGCAGCGCCACGTGCAGCACCACGTCGACGTCGTGGTACACAGAGACAAAGATCCCCTCCCCCGTGTGGCCTTGACACACGGTTGGGTCAAGTGCTGTTAGCGAGTAGCAGCGCCTATGAAGGGGTGGGTGGCCAGCAACACGCCCGGCCGCCTTTGTCTCCCTAGTGGCGATGTTTACACACTCATGACACACACACACACACGTGTCACGACTCATGACACACACACACGTGTGTCATGACATTCAGAGGTGTGTGTGGGGACGCCGCTCGATTCCCGCTCACGGCCACCAACACCGCCGGTGACGATTATCTGAATCGGTGCTGGGCCTCCGCTAGATCGACTCGGCCTCAAATGAGTACCTGGTGCGGTGTGTAGTAAACATCGCCACTGGGGAGACAAAGGCGGCCGGGCGTGGGGCTGGCCACCTTCATAGGCTGCTCGCTACCGCCACTTGCCCCTGCAGCTTGTAAAGGCTACACGGGGGATCTTTGTAAACAAGTACAGTATATTATATCTATATTATATCTATATTATATCTCTTATAGGCTTACCTTTATTTTATTCATTTTATTCTTGAAAAGTCGTACGTACAGTGGCTGGCAACGTCGGCGAACCACAATTACAGCAAATTCGATTAACCAACAGCCTCCAACATGTAACGAATTAGTAAACATCAATACTTCACACCGATTGTCCACTTTGTGCGGTTATATCCTAACTGGCGAGCAACTGATTTAAAGCTTTCGTGACTGCAGGGATTCATATTCTTGGTTCTTTCGGTAAAGTCACGTAGAAGGGAAATAATAAAAAATAAACCAATTAAATTCTCACGACGTTTCGACTGCAACACAAGCAATCATCATCAGTCAAATCTATTGATTGTCACCTGATACTCTTAGGTTTTTTCGGTAAAGTCACGTCGGTAAAAATAAATAACTGTATCCTCACTTGATACGTCGTGATTTATAATTGTATTTCTATTATTATTTCTATAATTTGTATTATGTATTTTTACATACGCGACTTTACCGAAAAAACCTAAGAGTATGAATCCTTGCAGTCACGAAAGCTTCAAATCGAGATTGTTTGTGTTGCAATCGAAACGTCGTGAGATTTTTATTGTTTTACATTTTTATTATTTTATTATTTCCCTTCTCCGTGACTTTACCGAAATAACCAAGAGTATGGCTAGCAATTGTAAAGCGACGAGAAGTTTAACAATAACAAACGGAGGCGCCGTGCAGGCGTGAGGTAACTTTGTTGCCCTTGGCAACCAACATTACTCTGATTACCATGAGGATGTAAATGTTATCCTAGTTAATTTATATCGGCAGATTCATACCACACGATTGTGCACCAATTACTCTCACGTTTTATATAATTTTGTACGTTTAGAAATCACCTCACATTTATAAATCACCTCACATTTATAAATCACCTCACGTTTAGAAATCATCTCAAGTTTATAAATCACCACGTTTATAAATCACAAATTTATAAATCACCTCACGTTTATAAATCACCTCACGTTTATAAATCAACACATGTGTGTATTGTGCGTGTATTGTATGTATTGTGTGTGTAGTGTACTGTGTGTACTGTGTAGTGTGCACTGTGTACTGTGCGTTGTGTGTGTAGTGTATACTGTGTGTGTACTGTGTACTGTGTGTGTATTGTGTACTGTGTAGTGTGTACTGTGTAGTGTGTACTGTGTAGAGTGTACTGTGTGTGTAGTGTGTACTGCGTAGTGTGTACTGTGTAGAGTGTACTGTGTGTGTGAAGTACCCGTCGAGGACGCTTGACAACGGAGTTGAGGCACACGTATATTTATTTAACAAGTTGCCAGTACAGGACAGCCCTAGAGGGGGTAGCGGCCCCCTCACCCGTATAACTCAGGGAATACCCCTAGCTATCCATAGCCTATCCCCTGAGTCCTCCACTAAGAGCTAGGGGAGGCTGTCTGGCCCGACACTGGTAATCGGGCTCGGTACCCGGAGTCCCAGAGCACTGGCTCTGGTTCACGGGACCACGCCACTGGCTCGAGCCTGATCCCGTGGGGCCCTGATAAGGGCGGCGATCAGGGGGAGTCCAGGGCTCTAGCTACGACGTCTTCCGACTTCTTAGCTTAACTATAACATAACTGACTAAGCCCATATAACGACCCCTTTTTATACCCAACCCTCCTTGAGGGGTGGGGCCCCGGGGGATCGTAACGCCGAACCAGCCCCCCCCCAGGGTGTCTGGCTCGGACGTCGCAGAGGGCATCTCCCTGTGCACACACGTAGCCCCGCCCACTGTGTTTCTTTCCCATAGGCTGCCATGCATAACGGCCCTCTCTCCAACGTCCCTACATCACTCCCCCCCGCATAGCTCGCAGCCGTCCCGGCTGCAACAATTTCAACAAATGAATCTTTACCCCTTGACTCCCCCCGTGTGTGCCCCATTTTTTTTCCATTTAACAGAACGAGAATTAAACAACAACACTAACAATGCCCCTAAAGGGAGAACAAACCGACGCGCCCCCCCCCCCGAATAAATACGAAATCCGTAGAGGCAAGATATGTACATTTCCCGGAACCCTCAGCGCACGCACAACACGCACACAAGACGCACACACACACACAGCCATAATACAACAACGCGCCAAGAGCGCCACACGAACGCAGCGTCCAGCAACAATAGCACACGAAAGTGTACCAGAAAACGCAAAAA